AGACCTTTTTGCGGCCCCTCTGTTCTGGGAAACTACCATTTGAGCTATAGTCTAAACTCCTTAAAGGGGGTTTATACGGGATACATATATATATATATAGGGACTACTATAGGGGATATTAAGGGGGATTCTAGAAGTTTAGACTAGAACTCATGAAGGGGTTTTGGGTTCGGAGAGCCCAAGACGGTGTAACTAAGGAATAGATCCCCAAACCCTAAATGTTGGGTACTGCCCACCCAGTAACACTCTCTTGCAGGGGTGATATTAAGGGCTATACATGGTCTTATCACTATCCAACTGTTCCTGGGTGGAGGCAGTATCCAACCTTATGAATGAAGATCCCGTATATGTTTCAGGCACATTCCTTGATTCAGGGACATTGGGCGCCCGGGTAGACGCGCCAGCGACTATGGGAGCCAAACAGGGGCATATCTATGGCTATGGCTTCAATCAGCATCAGTCAGTATTTCCTATATAATTGATGGACATGGCTTCTTGTTAGGGACTATTTTAGAGACATACTCAACTACAAGGGGGACCCCTATGTCCACTGTTACGGGTACTGCATGGTAATTCCCTCCCTAGGGTTTCCTAGGACTTACATGGTCACAGCGGAAACCCACGACATCTTGTTATGGGAATATGTCTGAAGGAGGACCCGCTTGCAGTACCATTTCTAGTGCTGCTTGCTATTGCTATTTACTGGCCTGGTACTAATACGACTGGAACCAGAAAGTTGGGACCCGCCAAGTGCGAATTGATAGGCTGGCCTCTGATGTGGATAGGAGTTTTGCACTGTTGTAAGCTCACGGATTCTCTGGCATGTTGTGCTGCTGACATTGAGCCGTGTTTGACAATGAGTCATGCAGCGGAAGTTGCTCCTGTGGTAGTGTTGCGGGAGCTGGCAGTTGCAGGAGCTAGTACCGTTGCTATTGGCTTGCTGCCGAACATCTAATGTCAATGGCCCAGCCAAATTTGTCATGTTAGGCCCAGCTGCCTGCTACCGCACTATTGTTTTCAGGGCTGGCCACACAGCACTCAGACATCATTTGGCTCTGCTGCTTGTGACTGTAGCCCCTTTCCGACAACCGTTGTTGCAGGTTGCTCTCTATCCACTCCTTGCCCATCTCCATGTCCAGATAGCAACAAGCCCGATCCGTCGCGCTCAAGATTGACTCTGTCGTGTTGCTTTCATCTTCTTCGGCCTCGACCTAGGGTTTAGGGTTTAGGTCATGGCCCTGAAGCCCTAAACAATCTTTTCTGACCGTCTAAAAGCATTAAAAAAAAACACGTCATGCGCAAGAATTCCCGAGGACGAATACAGGATGTCTGTGAGTTCGTAAAGGAACCTGGATTCAAATCCCTGGCCTTCCAAGTAGCGACTTGCAACCTAGGGTTTACGGTTTAGAGACCCGCAATAGGCGGGTATAGAGGAACTTTTTCTACTGTGGCAAGCTATGTACATCTCAAAAATGAGGTTCTTGTCACACTCTTGCACATGCTAAGCCCATGCATCCCCACAAAACCTGCAGAGGAAACTGTGATCGCACCACCACCCTCAAGAACTTGTAATCTGAAGACAGCCCAAATCGTGCATTCTCCCCAGCATCCCTTTGACCCCGACAGCATCCTTCTTATCCGAAACCCCAAACCCTCTAGCCCTCTTAGACAGCAAACTGTCGTTCCGACAAACCCTTCCTTCTCAGAGAGCCCACCCTAAACTCTAAACCCAAAACTAATTGTATATACTTTAGACGGTCAGCAAGACGATTTTAGACATGCTTCTTGAACAAGGGGTGTTGCGCTCCTGACCCCCCCTACAAAAGCCGCATGGCCACATAAAAGCCCTCAACAACCTTAATTAAGGAAACCTATATGGCCCCATATAATCTTGAAGCAACAACCTTATTTGAGGAAACCTATAGAATAGAATCCCTCAACAACCCCTAAACCCTAAAAACTAAACCCTAAACCCTAAACCCTAAACCCTTATTAAGGCTATTCGGCCTCCTGGAGTTCTGAGGCACCTACAAATTTGTGGCCGCGCAAGCCATGAGGGATGGCTCCTTGCGCTCGAACTTCTTCAAGACCTGGCGGCTTTAGAAAAGGGTTGACAGGTTTAGGGTTGGGGTTTAGAGTTTAGGGTTTAGGGTTGGGGTTTAGAGTTAGGGGTTCATTCCCATGTGATTAAGGGTGGTGGGTTTGGGGGGTAGTTAGTGGGACCTTACGGGGCCTTCGGGAGCACTATGGACATGGTAAGTTCAGCACCCTTGGGATGGACCCTTAGAGTGTTCTGGGGGGAAGAGGGTATTTGGGGACCCCATGATTGAGAGCCAACCAACCCCATCACAAAGGAAAGGGGGCAGATTTGCACTACCTGCCAGGTGGATGTGAAGAACAACGCTGACACTTACAGGAGGAGAAAAGTCATCCGCCCACAAGGGCGAGGGGGAAGATCTGAATTTCGGCAGACCCACGCTCCACGGGAAAGGAAATCCGGATAAATTCAACCGAATTGTGACAGCCTCTGAAGGAGGAAAGCAACCACCAATATCATGGCAGGCAAGGAAGATCTAAACGATCCCAGCACAAGATGCTGACAGTTCTCGGGGTTTAGGGTTTAGGGCTTCGGCAAGAAAGCCACCACACCACAGGGAGGAAGGGGCAAAAATCTGAAGGACCTCAGCAACACGCAGCTAATGATGCTGCAGCCAGAATGCTGGCAATTACTGTATGCCAGCCTCTAATGTTTGGGGAAGGAGCTGGGCAGCTCTGGATCATGCATGGAATTGGGGGTTCCCAAAAATAGGGGTTCCCTGTTGAAAGGTCCCCATAACAAGGGTTCTGGTATTTTGGAGTCTATATTGGCGTCCCCCTATTTATGGAAACTACCACATGCCACTGGCTGAAGTTCTAGTAGGGCCCCAACCTAACTTTAGTTCGTAGATCCCTGAAACCCTAAACCCCTAAATCCTAGATCCTACATTATCCCACGCCCTAAATCCTAAACTCTCCCAAACGGAGAGAACCGACCAAGCGATGGGTGTGGTCTTCAAGCTTGGGTTTAAGGCCTTGGGGTTTAGAGTTTAGAGGCTTAGAGTTCAGGGGTTTGGTGGCTTAGGGTTTAGGGATCAGGGTTTAGGGGCTTGGAGTTTAGGGATCCCCTAAGATCTGCCTCTCTCTTTCATGTCAGGGGACCTGTTGAGCCTGTCGACCTCCTCAAGACACCTGCCTTGAAGACACCTGATCAAAAGTCTAAACTCATAGTATCCCCCTCAATGAATAACCCATATAGCACTCCCCTATATAAACTCCCTATAAGGGGTTTAGACTGTAGCTCATACAGTCATTTCCATAAATAGGTGGGCCGTAATCTAGAACCCCAAGAAACGATAACCATTCACGTAGGGACGCCGCTGTCGTAGCAGACAGGGCCTCGGCCCATTTAGCTGACTCCTCGTAGTGGCGCCTCTCTTCTAGCGTGGCCCCAGCGAGGTTCAGTAGCTCGATCAGACTCTAGCTTCTCAGGCTCTTCCCCCAAGCCGCGTAGCATCGCCCGGGTGGCGTCTATCAAACTTTCCGACATAGCGACAAGGATAGCCCACTTCGCCTGCTTTCGTCAAAGCTCCCGCAAAGAGAGCACTGTTGAAATCTGTACTGCCCAATCCGGAGGTCCTGACCGGGGAAAATGCTTTCTGCTGGGGGATGTTTATCTCTGGTGTGCTGCATAGGTAGAAATTCGTGATCTCTGCGGCAGGGATCTGCCCTACTTCTTTGCAGCATCTGTTTACCTTCAATATTGCAAATGGTGCTGCATGGTGCTTTGCCTACATGACTTTCTCAATGATGGAAACCCTACACCCGAACCAAACCCTGAACCCTCAAACCCCCACCCTAAACCCCCCACCCAAAACCTTAAACCCTACACTCTAAACCCTCTAGCCTAAACCCTAAATCCTACACGCTAAACCCTCTAGCCTAAACCCTCAACCCTAAAGCCTATGGAAACTGGGACACAATCACTTCCAACCTGAATTGCTTGGTCGAATTCCTTGCGGCGCAGGAAGAAGCAAGACCTTCGCACACAAAGAAGCTGAGGCCCTCAACTTCCCTAAGCACTAAAACCTGAACTCAAAACTCTAAACTCTAAACCGTAAGCCCTAAAGGCTAACCTCTACAGCGAAAAGCCTAAACCCTAAGCCCTAAACCTTAAACTCTGAAACCTAAACCCTAAACTCCAAACCCTGAGCCCTGAACCCTAAGCCCGAAACAAGAAGGTTTAGGATCCTTCAGTTCCCCATAAACCCCAAACTCTACGTCCCTAAAACCCCTAGACCCTAAATCCTGGACCTTAAAACAGAGACCCTACCAAATACAAACGGATTTCTGGTTTGAGGGCTTGTTGTGGGTAGTAGGATATAGAGGAAGGCGACAAGAAACTGGAAGCTACTATAGGTTTCATGTTTTTGGGCCGAGAACGAGGGATGGATCCTTAAAGAAGGCCCTAAACTCCCCCAAGTATCATAATTTCAATTTCTTGTCATTTCCTGATCAAAAGAGCATTATGAAGGTTTGGGCTTCAAGGTTTTGGATGAGGTAAGAGTTCGCTGTTGGGAAGGTAGCAAGGAATTTGAGATATCATCGAGGCATTGCTAAAAATTAGGACATATATTGGGCTGAAGTCCACATGAAAATGCAAAAGGCTATGCATCAAAAGCTAGAGCTCCTACATTCCCCTAATATTACTATAACGCCTGCAGTATTAATCATCCATTAATCATAAGATCTCCCAAAAAGGGGTCCCGAACGTGTTGCCCCCCCCCCCCCC